ACACACACAATGTGCAAAAACGCATGTAAACGCACCAGAACATGTTTAAACCCAAGCAAAACCATTTTTTTAAAGAAAAAAAGCAAAAAACACAAATCAGAAATGCGCATAAACATGTATGCGGAAACATCCAGAACCAGTCTGGAGATGGTGTGAACAAGCCTTAGAGTGCATAACTCTTAAGATTCAGCACTTGCACCATTCCATGTCTTGCCACAGTACAGTCTATTGGGATTCCTACAACAAACATGCTATCAAGTGACCTTTGGCCCCTTTAATGACCTATATGGTATACGTTACATTTTACTACAGTAACTGATACTAAAAGCTTGCTATATATTGGATCATCCATATCCATTTGCACTCATTGCCCAATCTTTAACAGATTTTTCCATACATGTATGTACAAATTTATATAATCCAGATACTTTGAGAGACTAAGACTGGCCCTACACTGTTCACAGGAATCGGGTAAAATTCTTACAGCGTGTGGTCCAACTGGCTCGAAAAAAACTCAATTACTAAATTAGACTTTTGTTGAAGGAGCTGGGCCGAAAATTGTTGGCCAAACAGTGACTGCAGCCAATCAGCGATCGACACTGGCTGCCAGAATGCAATAGCTGCAGCATGAGATTCATTCCATCCTTACTGTTTAGTGCTCAGAGGCTGAGCGGAAAAATAAATCTAAGTGTATGGCAAGCTTTAATTTTTCTACAATGAAAGAGGCCAAATGTGAAATGCATCATGTATAGAAAGGTCATTGTGTGATCAGTCTCCATCCTGTCCAGTCAATTTCCTAGCAGACATTGATGTCCTGCAGGATGTTGTCACACAGAAGGCTAAATTATCAGATGATGTCATCTAAAGATAGCTAATCTGTTAGCCAATTGGCTCTTCTAGAAAGATTGAGATGCAGTTGTTAGGATAATCCAATCCAGCGGAACTCTGACCCCAAAATGTCACCTTACCAAACTCTGATCGTTTAAGGTAGCCACAGATATGATTATAGCACAACAATTTTCCATGTCAATGGGCACTAGCAGAAATCTACAGATTGATCTTGTATGATACAGCAATCACCTGAATTGGATTATTTGGTGATAGGGCTCCCCAAGATGTCTTTCCACCTCCCACATCATAAAAATTAACTCTGGTGGTACCATAATGACTGTTTATGGTCAGGTCCTTGCACATCCGACCGCATTTTGATGTGTAGGGATAGCTTTAAAATCACAAAACAATAACTTGTCTCTGTTTTCTCCAGGCAGGTCAGTATGTGTCACTTTTCCTGGAGAATAAGATGGACTCTTGGATTGTAACTGTCATAAAGGGCTCAGACTTCAGTGGAGTTCTCCTAGGGCAATGATCTACAGAAGGATCCCAGGAACTGGAGTGTACACTGCAATTGCAGCAGCAGCAGCACAGTAAACTTTGTAGAATAGAGGTGAAGCAGAGATTTTGCCTTTTCTCTGCTAAAAGACTGTTATATTTTCTTATAATACAGTTACTCTGCATATATCTATTAACGACATCACCAGCTTTGATCCGACTATTCTATTATGCCAACAATAAAAAAAATACATTATTTAGGAGTGTGTGACAGAAAATTACAAAACAGGCAACTGTAAGCAGTAAATATGATTTACAATTGGCACGATGTGCAGTTACATCATAAAATTCATTATAAAATGAAGTTGTTCTTCTTATATAGTGCTGATCAGAAGTATACACTTTACATCAGGCATCTATTTTCAGAACTGTTATTTATAACATAAAACACAACTGCACACTAGTTTCTTGTTTAGCGAGGTAAAGAAATATCAGATTTGCATATTTTCATAAGCTGAACTCTGGTTTGGCTAAAAATAAAATAATAAATGTATTATTAAATAGTAAGGTCCGGTCTCACTTCTGTAAGCACAGAAGGGAAGTGCATAAGACAAACAAACAAAAAAAAGTAAGTTTGATAACATAATTGCTTTTCCACAAGTGGTGCCAAGGCAAGAGTGACGTCATCATTCTTTTCCGGAGAGATCATGGGGACTGTTGGGTGGTCTAAATCTCACAAGTGGATGATCCTGCACTGTGCTGCAGTGTCTTCTTGTGATATTTGGGCTACTCAGCATTCCCCAGGATCTCACCTGTAGCATGGTACCTTACCCCCCACACTACAGCAGATGGGAGAGGCAAGAGTATCAACTAACTTTTGCCACCACAGCCTCTTTTTTTAATGCACTGTTTTAGGAAGGGAGAACGCAATAAATAAGTCTCCATTGCCTGGAGTGCAAGGTATGCATTAAATGTGGGTCCCCCCCAGCCTGCCCACATATGCAGAATACAATGCTCCTTTTGCCTGAAGGAGGGTATAAGAGAGAATCATATCCAAGCTGTCAGGCAGTCGGTGCTCCAGGCCCTTAACCTTATCATATACCATTCATAACCAGTGGTGGTCACTGGTCCTTCATTGAATGTCGTCATGGGGCGAGGCAACCAGAAATATATATTAAAAAAAAAAAGGAGAGGTGTGGTAATGGATACATGTCAGTATTCCTCACTATTCGAACCCCTTATACAAAATGAGAATTATATCCTGCATATGCTGGGAAGGGGTAAACAAACAAAACAAATCACAATTCAATTTCTTTTCCAGCTCAGAATTGCGCAATGCGCATTTTCAGCATGCACAAGCGTAAGAAACGTCCACCACTGAAAAGTTACTGCTTGGAATAATACCGGCAAAGCAAAATTTACAAGTAAAAACAAAAAATGTGAAACTTTTTTTTTTTTTTACTGAAATAAACAAGGAGCATAAAATCATCAATCACACATCCAAACCACCTTAACCTATATCTGCATAAAGCATATATCACAGGCTTTCAAACCAAGAATGTCCTGATTTGAATGTAAAAACAACATAACAACGAAAAGTTCTCCAGTACTCGTTTGGCAGTCCTCTAAAAAGGTTACGGCACTGTGCTTCATGACATCTTAGCTGTACAACAGACTGGTATAGTTATAGTACAGTGGAAGATGTAGCTGTTGTATTAATAATTAATTTCTCTGTAACACTCAGCTACCCATACCATGGGTATCAGTGTTGAATCTGTACAATGAGTATGGTGACATTGTCAGCAGCACCTCGCCGCACTGCTTCATTAGCAAGGCGATGGCAGGCCGATTCATAGCGGGTATCCATGTCTCCAAGACCCTCTTCTGTCTGGGCACTTTCATCCTATGAAGAAGAATATTGGAGGAAAATCATCAAGGCGATAGCTGGAGCTGCACATCATATTTCATAGGCTATGCATATTTACCTGAACTTGGCTCAGGATGAAGTTTACAGTTTCTTCTGCAGAGAACACTTTGAAAAGACCATCACAGGCCAGCAAAATAAACCTGAAAAACAAATATTGGGGCGTTTGAACATTAGTATTTGGTTACATTGGTCATTTCTATTTTGTGTATTTCAAAAAATTGTAGAGGACACTGGTACAAAAAAAATACTTTAGACACACTTAGGACCTCCACATCACAGCAGTGCACAACAGCAATAAGTAATAAGCAATAACACAGGGATCTGAAACTTTATTACTGTTTGAGCTGGGAAATATTTTTTGACATTTTGCACAATTATAAATAGCCAAGTCTTTAAACTATCTACGCACATCTAGTATCTGAAAGACTCCAACTGAAAGATTTTCTCACCTGGCAGCCTAGATGATGCAACAGTCACTATGAGGGCAAAGGAATCCCTCGCTCCTTTGCTGCAATCTCCATAATGTACAATGAAAGAATATACAGTATAAATTCTGCAGTGCATTCTATTGCCATTGATTGCAACTGGGTAAAGGTGGAAAATCACTGTCCCCCCCCCACACAAAAAAAAAAGTTAAGTACACACACACACACACTATATTGCCAAAAGTATTGGGACACCCCTCCAAATCATTGGATTCAGGTGTTCCAATCACCTCCATGGCCACAGGTGTATAACATCAAGCACCTAGACATGCAGACGCTTCTACAAACATTTGTGAAAGAATGGGTCGCTCTCCGGAGCCAGTGAGTTCAAGTGTGGTACCGTGATAGGTTGCCACCTGTGCAATAAGTCCATCCGTGAAATTTTCTTGCTACGAAATATTTCATGGTCAACTGTTAGCGGTATTATAACAAAGTGGAAACAACTGGGAACAACAGCAACTCAGCCACGAAGTGGTAGGCCACGTAAAATGACAGAGCGGGGTCAGCGCATGCTGAAGCGCACAGTGCGCAGAAGTCGCCAACTGTTTGCAGAGTCAATAGCTACAGACCTCCAAACCTCGTGTGGCCTTCAGATTGGCACAACAACAGTGCTTAGAGAGCTTCATGGAATGGGTTTCCATGGCTGAGCAGCTGCATCCAAGCCTTACATCACCAAGTGCAATGCAAAGCGTCAGATGCAGTGGTGTAAAGCACGCCACCGCTGGTCTCTAGAGAAGTGGAGACGTGTTCTCTGGGGTGACGAATCACACTTCTCTGTCTGGCAATCTGATGTACATGTCAGGGTTTGGCGGTTGCCAGAAGAACAGTACTTGCCTGACTGCATTGTGCCAAGTGTAAAGATTGGTGGAGGGGGGATTATGGTGTGGGGTTATTTTCAGGGGTTGGGCTTGGCCCCTTAGTTCCAGTGAAGGGAACTCTTAAGGCATCAGCATACCAAGGCATTTTGGACAATTTCATGCTCCCAACTTTGTGGGAACAGTTTGAGGATGGTCCCTTCCTGTTCCAACATGACTGCGCACCAGTGCACAAAGCAAGGTCCATAAAGACATGGATGAGCTAGTTTGGGGTGGAGGAACTTGACTGGCCTGCACAGAGTCCTGACCTCAACCCGATAGAACAACTTTGGGATGAATTAAAGCGGAGACTGCGAGCCCGGCCCTCTCATCCAACATCGGTACCTGACCTCACAAATGCACTTCTGGAAGAATGGTCAAACATTCCCATAGACACACTCCTGAACCTTTTTGACGCCTTCTCAGAAGAGTTGAAGATGTTATAGCTGCAAAGTGTGGGCCAACTCAATATTGAACCCTACGGACTAAGACTGGGATGCCATTAAAGTTCATGTCCATGTAAAGGCAGGCGTCCCAATACTTTTGGCAATATAGTGTAGCTTTTAATAGAGCAGCCTAAAGAATAGAGGGGCACATCCCTGGAAAGCATTTCATTTCATTGTGACTTCTCTACATAGACAAGACTAGAATGGAACAGTTTACCAGAAAGCCGTAGAATCTAGATTTCCTTATATATATATACATACATATATATATATTATTGTTGCTAAATGGCAGCAGATGGAAGTTATACATTACACTAAGGTGACTTTATTTACCTGTCACTGTCAGTGAGAGGACACCTTTTCACATCTGGGGTGTTGATAACGCCACAACGTTTGAACTGACCATCTCCGAGTGAGCGAGACACCTCTAATATACCCAAAACTCTGCCATCTCTGCGGAATACAAAGTGCATGAGACTTTCAAAAGCTATGATTGTAGAGCACTAAAACAAGTTAAAGCCACAATGAATCCGACTACAGCATCCTTGCTACAAATTGAATGTCTCGTACAAACGTCATGAAGGGGTGTGATGTGAAGCAGTGAAGGGGTATCTACACACCTTTTAGGAAATCATGCCATCTTAAATTAGTGCAGTAGTGATTTGGCACTAATGCACTCAAACAGTCTTTTTAAGCCGAGTGAGATTCTGATGAAAATTGTTTTTGTGGATTTGTAGGCATGCAGAGAAGAAAAAAAAAGTTGAGTTTGCGCATTTGTGATGTTCCATAAGGCAGAGTAAGATAGTGTAGAGTCTTCTGTAAAAGTGATTGCAGCAGGGAGGCATCTCGCTCTCCATATGTTGGTGAAATGTTTTCTGCAAATTTGACCCTCGGGCAGAGCAGCATGTGTAGTGTGGCTTAGACAGATAACTGGCTGGCATTTCACAGAAATTGCTGATGCTGCAGAACACTGTACACACCCCAAAGCCAGGGGCTCCTCCACCCAGTAGAGAGATGTGATGGGATGATTGAAGACAAACAATATTAAGTAACACTGAAAAAGTGTCAGATACAATCTGCCAGTTTAATCACAAGTTATTAGGGGCTTTAAACTTCTGTAATAACAGGGGATGGGGGTCATTGTTGATACTGTATGGCGGAATTGAGGGAGATCCTGGAGTATCGTAAATGGTTTTTATTCCGTTGTATCAATAGTGCTGCTCACCTCACATTTCCCCCCGCTCTTTGTATTCTCATCCGTTCTTCATACTGAGTCGGATTATGTTCTCTACTTAAGCTTAATACAGTCGGCTTCTGAGTTTCCTCATTCATCCTACACATTATCGACTTCACACAAACAGAAATCAAGATTACAAAAGAATACAGCAAATAAGAACAATCAGGCTGACTATAAGCAAATAAGTCCCTTCAGATAGCCTCAGAAGCTGGCATGTTTTGTAGCGGGTCCCTGTCAAATACAAACCTGCAAGTAAAAAAATGGTGATTTTTCGTTGGTTCATTTCTTAATGACAGGCTGCTGTCTATAGGCCCCTCAGTTCTAAAGCATCTTAGTCCGTACAAAACAAAAATAGACAAAACGCATTCACAGTATGGGAACAATCATTCCATCTGTAAGCCCAAATGGGAACATCTCTCTCAACCTCAAAATAGCCTTTTCCCAATCAAATCTCAGTTGCCAAAACCAAGAATTTACCTGCCCCTCCACTTAATACTTCTCTTTCCAATGGATAACTTCTTCTAGGAAGTCATCTCTTTATAAACTGGACCCCCAATTGTAAGTAGGCCATTCTAAAAGATATATGAGCTCTTCCTCAGCTGTTCAGCTGGATTTGTTAAATCACTTGAAAAGGCAGCTTCCAGGTTCAAGAAATTCAGAATCACAGTTAAGGAAAAACTAACACACAGAGTGCAAAGGACAAGTCACCGGTATTGCCTGGGGTCTCCCTGCAGCTGATCTTCTCCCCATTACTGGCTTACCATGCTTTGTTCTGCACTGTGCCTCTGTGTGGAACCGACATATTGGAAGAGACAGGGCTTTGCTTCCCCATGTCAGAGTCTCCAGCAAAGAACAGTGAGCAGCACAGTAGTTACATCACCAAATGTCATGCCAAATCTCTTGAGTCTATCAGAAATAGACAGCAGTTCCTTAGATCTCACACTGCGAATATACAGTTATGAGGCTGTAAGCATATCAATACATAGGCCCACTCACATATCAGAAGGAGCACTATTGTCTGAAGTAATTCAGTACAAAAAAAAAAGTAAATTTTCAGCCAGTCTTCACTTTTTAGTTGTAAGTACAGCCTTTGCTATAAACCCAAATCTCTACAAGTATATCAACCTCATTATGCAGATTTCCAAATGCTTCATTATGCGTCTCCATGCTGTTTAATATATGGCAGTAAGGGGCATAAAAAAGGAGGGGGTTGCCAGCCAAATGGGCTTATAAACTTTTGTTTTTTGGTCCGCTAAGTAAAACCTTGTGGAGTCATGCACACTGTCACACTCCAATTTCACCTTCAAAAAATGTCTCAATAGCATAATAAACTTTTGGTACAGTTGCTCTTACATTATAGTGACCAGTCCCTGATCGATATAGCTTATTAGTTTGCACAGCTAGTTGTCAAAATCACCCCGGCTGGGTCCAGGCATTCACTCTGCAGACTTATTCCTTCCTATAGTGAGTTCTGGCGTGTGAGCTTGCACTTTGGTCTAACACTAAATTGGATGGAATGAAAGTGCAAGCGTGGACCAGTCAGAAAGATTTTCACAAGCAGCTGTGCAAAATAGTCAGCAATATCACTACATCACGGACAGGCGAGTATAAGAGTGGGGGAAGGTGGCAAGGTGTAGGGAATATGATCTAAGTAACTACTGTTACACTTTAAATTTTTGTCTGATTTACGCATTAATCAGTAGTAAATGTTCTTTTATGACCAATGACACAAAACAGATTCTGGTTCCCTACCCTGCTGTCCCCGAGATTGGCAATATACAAGTTGTTATCTGCAACCAAAACACAAATAGCAGTAGTCCCATCCTTCCATGCTGGCTTCCTGTATACAGGAGAGAACAGATAGGAAAAGTAACAGTCAATGTCATTCCCTGTATGGTGATCTTATGAACTCACACAAACTGATATATGATAGTATTGATGGCCACATGTGTGTCAAGCTTCTTTCAATTTCACTCTTGATCAAAAATTTAAAAAAAACAATAGCTTGTGATCCAATAAATCCATGCAAACTGCCATGCAAAAGGCTTTTATGGATGATTTAGCAGTTTAGATTGATTTCATAGTGTAAACTGATTATTGGTGGATCCAACAGGCAAAATAAGAATTTAGAAATAGTTAATTAAAAAGAAAGTGTGATCAAATGCAGAAAAAAAAACAGTGGAAATCTCATTCAAGGTACAGTAATTGGCTGATCTACTTTTGTTCTACCCAGTTGCTGTGAAAATCTAGTGAAATATAAATCAAAGGGTATTGATCCATTTTTTTAATCTACCAGAAGTGGACTGAACAATCAGATTGTTGTTTGTGTGGTGTGCAACTGTGGGACCACAGAGAGATGAATCACTCAGTGAGGGAAACAAAATATTTTTGGGGGTAATCCACTACAAACATAGACCACCTTGCAGGACCAGGAAAAGAGATTTTTTGCTGTGTAACTTCCTCTCTGCTTCCCCCAATTATATTTAAACTTTCAAGCAAGTTAAAATCTGATTGGTGGCAGTGAAATCTTAGCCCAAGCATTTTTCTTTCATCAGGCTTTCCATTTGTAAAAGGTAGCGAAAAAGAGAGTGTTTCAGTGTCACCAGCATGCATGTCTCAAGATTGCCAGATTACTGACAAAAGAGATTGGGATGGGTGGTTATACTACAGCAATGTCTAGATTAAAAAACAAAGTACTGAGCACATGTGCATACAGTGCATGGTAGACAGCCTCTCAAGGATTTGTTTTCAATCTTGGCTGCACTGTACCTTTATTCTCTACATAATATGTTGTTTTACAAGTGAAGCCTGATTCCGGTGCACTGCTTGCTTCTATTGGGCTGTGCATGAGGAAGAACATTTTTAACATGAAAAATAACCAAGGGTTTATGTGAAAGCACTTTTCTGTAATGCAAACAGGCTTCCTTTAAAAGAGAAGTGACCTGCGTAAAAGATACTCACTGGCTGGCTGCCTGTTTCAAAAACTCTTCATCTGTCTGCTTGAAAGCATCGATCAGACATTTCTTAATTCCCTTGTCCACACTGCTTCCCTCACCTGCAAAACAGAGCTGTAACACTCCAAATCTCCAGACTGATCCACCAACACCAAGTTTCAGCTTCAACTCACCTCGAGGCAGCTTTTTCACGAGATTCTGATGTAGATGCTGTGATGCAAACTTCGCTGCACGGCTCCCACCATGACCATCGAAGACCCCAAAGTACGACAGTCGTGACCTATAAGGAAAATACAATTATGCTGCATATTAAAATGGAGAAGGAAGTTTTCCTAGGAGTATATAAACTAACATATCAAAATGTACATGTATCACTTTAGATGTAAGTTTAGTGGTCAAAGGATCACCTTCATGTCTGAAACTGGCCACATGTGCTACCACTACACTGTTTATACTACTATGTTTCAGTTGGAACTGTATAGAAATCTTACCGTGTGTTTGAAGCATAAAGAGCGGATGATGTGGTCATTTATTAAGTTGCAAAACTCTTTATTTAGATTATAACGGGATGTATTATGTGTTGGGTATTTGTGCGATTTTACAGAATGCACACATTTGCTGGTATCCCTTTCTATCTAGATAAGAGATGAATTGATGCTGGAAAATCTCTGGGGGGAATTTATCAAGACTGGAGCAGCTGTGCATGGCAACTAGGGATGCACCGATACCAAGTACCGTACTTGGTACAAGTACATGTACCGATACTTTGAGCTCCAAGACTAGACTAGAGAAAAATTCAAAAAAGTTAGGAGGCAGCTGTCATTTGTAAGGAGCATACGGAGCTCATGGGATTTGTACATTTCTGTTTTAATGTATGGTTTTGTTTTTATAAATAAAGGGATGCACCGATACCAGTTTTGTGAGTACAAGTACTGATACTTGCCAAAGTACTTACAAGTACTGATACATTTTTGTTTATTATCATGTGACAGTTTTTCTAAAACAATACAGACTAATGATTCAGGACAGTGGTGGAGCACCAGAGCCAGGTCCCAGCTGCAACCGCTGCAACCCTGGTAGTTCTCATGAAAATGCCAAGTATCTGCACTGGTACTCGAAAAGTATCTGTGCATCCCTAATGGCAACCAATCAGCTTCTCTCTTTCATTTTCAAATCTTAACTGAACAAACTGAAGATAGAAGCTGATTGGTTGCCATGGGCAGCTGCTCCAGTTTCTGTCTGCTCCAGTATTGATAAATTCCCCCCTCTGTGTATAAAAAGGAATTCCAACAATCAGCTTGTATAAGAGCATGTGTTATAGTAACTCTGAATTTCTCCTGGGGCAGAAAGCAAAACTCTTGCCTTGTGCTAACCTCTACACATGGCTATGCGCTATTTAAACTTGTACTACTGGATTGTAAGCTCTCACGAGCAGGGCCCTCTTAACCCTATTGTACTGAAATGATATTGTAACTATTGTCGCCCCCATTTTGTAATGGGCTGTGCAAACTGTAGGCGCAGATCAATCCTATATGATAAGCATAGATGGAGCATTGACCACCTTTCCCAGTGGTTGGAAACAAGGCAACTCCCATACAGTAACAACAAAAAAAGATACACAAATAGGAACAGCTGGATGTGACAAAAACCTATAGGTCACTTCAAATGAGTCATACACTCCACCCGCCACTTTATTAGGTACACCTGTTCAATTGCTTTGTAACACAAGTTGCTAATCAGCCAATCACATGGCAGCAACTCAATGCATTTAGGCATCTAGAGGTGGTGAAGATGACTTGCTGAAGTTCAAACCGAGCATCAGAATAGGGAAAAAAGGGGATTTAAGTGACTTTGAACATGGCATGGTTGTTGGTGCCAGACGGGCCGGTCTAAGTATTTCAAAAACTGCTGATCTACTGGGATTTTCATACACAACCATCTCTAGGGTTTACAGAGAATGGTCCAGAAAAGAGAAAATATACAGTGAGCGGCAGTTGTGTGGACAAAAATGCCTTGTTGATGTCAGAGGAGACTGGGCAGACTGGTTTGAGATGATAGAAAGGCAACTAACTCAAATAACCACTCGTTACAAAAAAGGCATGCAGAATATTATCTCTGAACGCACAACACAACAAACCTTGAATCGGTTGGGCTACAGCAGCAGAAGACCACACCGGGTGCCACTTTTTTCAGCTAAGAACAGGAGACGGAGGCTACAATTCGCACAGGCTCACCAAAATTGGACAATAGAAGATTGGAAAAACGTTGCCTGGTCTGATGAGTCTCGATTTCAGCTGCGTCATTCAGATGTTAAGTTCAGAATTTGGCATAGACAACATGAAACCATTGATCCATCCTGGCTTGTATCAACGGTTCAAGCTGGTGGTGGTGTAATAGTGTGGGTTATATTTTCTTGGCACACTTTGGGCCCGTGATGCTATCATGTCAATATGGACCAAAATCTCTGAGGGATGTTTCCAACACCTTGTTGAATCTATACCACAAAGAATTAAGGCAGTTCTGAAGGCAAAAGGGGGTCCAACCCGGTACTAGCAAGGTGTACCTAATAAAGTGGCCGGTAAGTGTACTCTCTAGAGATTTTATAATATTGTTACAGATCAAACTGTAATAGGTTTGCTTTAAAAATTGAAAAGTAAATAAAAAGGTGAGAAAAAAAATGAGTAGAAATATAATAATTCTGGCAGACATGAGGGATAACACTGCATTTAAAACTTTGCTGCAATCATGACCTGAAACTGATATGTCCTATTATCGATATGACCTAAACTCAGACTTTGATAAAAGAAAAAAAATCTAGTGTATTGGGCTTTTTCTCTAAAATACAAACACAGAATGTGTATATAAGTATGATCAGTGCAAGCACAGCAGGCTTACTAGCTACTTACACGTCAGCTGGCATAGGCTCACACTCCTGGGCAAGGTCATAACATATTGTATGAGCATCCTGCAGCTCTTCCCGTTCTCCCCGCCGCTCTGCTACATGAGCTTTTAAAGCCAAGATTCCTAAACAGAAATACAAAACACAACATTATTAAAGCAAACAACCACCCGGTTCTTTTCCAAAGAGCAGACAGTATCACAGGGAACAAAGAAGATGTAAATCATTCATATGCTGAATATGACAAGCAAACTTCAACTGGAATTCAATATCAATTTGAATACCAAGTATATGCATTCATACATTCCTGATATGCAATATACAGCAACAGTATCATTAAAAAAGCCTTAAAGAAAAACTCTGGGCAAAACCTTTATTAACCCTTGCAGTGGAGTTACCCCCGCACTGTAAGGGTTAACAGCTTGTTTTTGTTTAGGTGCTAAAAACAAACGAAAAATGTATACTTGCCTAAAGCTCGAGCTGGCTTCTGCTTCTTTGGTCTCTGAAGCCTGTCTTCTCCTGCATGCAGCCTTGAAATGTTCCTCAGCGTCCTCACGTCTATACGCAGTGTGATGATTTAGGGGACCTTAGACCATTGCAGAGGAGGGGGGAGAGATGCTGGAAGGAAGAGCCAGCTGGCTCCATGATTCAGATGAGTATAACCATTTTTTTTTTATCACCTAGACAAAACAAGCAGTTAACCTTTGCAGTGCGGGGTAGGCCCACTGCAAGGGTTAATAACAGCTTTTCCCTGGAGTTCTTCTTTATGTTCAGTCTTTATGTTGGCTTCATTAAAAAGGGCCTATGCCTAGGTCTTTGAACAGCAAACTAGAACAATGACATCAACATGGTGCAGGTAGGAGAAAGCATTTCCCAATGTGACCAGTAATAAAAAGCCCTGCTAAGCCTGCTAAAGCCACCTCCCCACCATGTCATTTGGGTTCATGTGGCTCCTTTGCGAGCCCAATACAACTGCAGGGGGATTTAGTAGGATGAGCGGCAAAATCACCTTCGCCGACCTCCCCTGTACAGAATGAACTCTGATCTGACCATATTTCATGTTACACCCTGAATATGGATGCAACATGAAACATGGCCAGAAAAGTAACCAGTCTTTTACAAAAAACTTCCCCTGTCATTATGGTTTTAGATGTAGCATTGCAATATTTTTACTGCAAACATAAACTACTTCCCTAACCACATAGGTGAGGGGTGAACAAACTAATTAGAATGAAGCAGCCTGTTATCCCATGCGACACGCCGGGAAAGCTCTTGTTTGAGGTGGCGGTCTGTCTCCTGACTAGTAGAGTATTGAAACAAGTTATATGGAAAGCCCCTTCTAGAGCAAACAGTCATCCAGCACACACTACAACAGTTCTACTTTCCTAATGTACAGGAGGTTTTCAGAGGCTGTGTGTTGCCTCCTACTGGAAGAAATTGTAATGGACGTGTCAGTTACACACAAGTACCGATTCACAATATCAAATCACAATATGAAACTCAAAACTTGAGGTCTACTACTTCTCTGTTCCCGCAAAACGTGTAGAACAAATGTAAAGCAGATTAATCAGATTCCCAATTTTTTTTTAATAAAGTCTTTATTTACATTTTTGCAAAAAAAAAAAAATAATATTAACCACTTCAAGACCAGGTGTTTAGACCCCCTTCCTGGCCAGGCCATTTTTCAGTATTCAGCGCTGCGGTACTTTGACTGACGTTTATTCCGTCATGCAGCGCTGGACTGAAATGAATTTTATACCATTTTTTTGGGACAGATAGAGCTTTCTTTTGGTGGTATTTAAACACCACTGCGGGTTTTATTTTTTACTATAATTAGGAAACATTACAGAAAATTTTGGGGAAAAAAAAGGATTTTTTTACATTATACTAGGAAACATTTATTATTACCCAGTTTTTTGGTAAAATATAAAAGATCGGGTCACGTCGGGTAAATAATAAGAATTGATAAGTAATCAGTAGATGATGAAGGTCAGCACAGCATGCACTAAGCATTAACCCTCTGGTAGTTACTTTATCAATCTCTACATTTAAAAACATGAAAGAGAAATCTTGCTAAAAATAAAAGGATATAAAAAGTTAATTCAAAGAATGAGTGCACTTCTAAAACAAACAAAGTGTACTTATTCTTTAGGCCCCTTTAGGCTGATTTCATGGCTCCCTCCCTCCACGTGCAGATGAATACATGCCACTTACAGAGTTCTAGTGGGCCCGATCTTGGTTGTTTGTTGACATCCTGAAGCGCATGCCTCTCTCTCCTGGCCACGTCATTGATTTCTATGGTTCTCCCCTCCAAGTCAGGAGATAGAGGTAGATGTCCACAGCAAGCCCAACAAACAACCGAGGCCAAGCCCGTTGAAACTCGGGTAAGTATTTATCTCTGCATGGGGCAGGAGCGGTGACGTTACCCTAAAGTTCCCTTGTTTTAAAGTGCACTTAACCTTTAACTTTAAGTGACACTAAACTCACGATTTATAGCTTAAAAATACATTCAAGTATCCTAACTACTAACAAAAATGTATCTTATTTGTGTATTACTCGGCTGTAGATCCTCATCTCTGAATTGGTGCTGACACTGTCCTTCCTTCTGGAGGGTGGATACCTTTGTTCCCCATGGTCCCTGTGCGTGTTTTAAAGTAGTCACCCCTCCAAGCTCGCTCCTGTGATGGACTACAATCTCAATACAAATTAGTAACCTAAAAGGTGACATTATAGTCTACCACAAAAGTATGATACATTTGTATTAATAATTAAGGTACTTGAATGCATTTTTAGTGTCACTTTAAACACTTAACAGCTCCAAATATGTAAACAACATCCTGTGATCTCCCTTTAAAGTGGAAACCCCCTAGGAATATTTACACATTTCCTAAAGAAATAAAAATTAATAGACTGATGTCCTGTTACTAAGAGGATCTGAGGATCTCCAGGTAAAAAAAACTTTGAAACGGATTCGCAAAAATATATATATTTTTTTAAATAGAAAACTTTAAACAGTGAGGCATGATACTAAACACAATGAAACATAGATTTTAGGTTCATATACACTTATGTACATTATGTCCTTGGAGGGCTACAGGTAAAACAGGCTGGTCCAGACTTCTCTTTGCCTGGCCACAGACTATGATTGCTAACTCTCCATCAGAAAATGCTAGGTGCCTAGCTGTCCCAGGCTGTAATATTTTCAGAGACACCGACGTGAACAAACACACAGTTCAGTAAAGTCAGACTGAAGTCTTAATCTGCATGCATTATGTCAATGGCTCAAGGACAGTGTACACAGCACTGGATTGGTTTGGCAACCAGCTGACTAGCATTTTCAGAAGGAAACCCTTGCCCCCAAAATGATGCACTGCAGGTTTCCTTTCAGCCTTGAAGAAAAACTCAGCTCATGCTTTCTATACATTGGCCAGTACAGAGTTCATGAAACTACAGCCACTGACACACACGGCCTTTCAGTCTCACAACTCGCTTTCTTCATGAACAGGATCTGGGGGAAACAAAAATTATTTCCAAAGGGGAATGTAAGCCTGTGCAGCTAGATAGAGCACCCCATACGAGCACAATGGCGTTAGATTTAGAAGCGTTTAATCAATGACAATACAGTCAGTAGCGAACAAATCAAGGACATAAAACGTAGAACGAAAGTGCGAGCACAGTTGTCGTCATATACCAATGCTTTGTACCCGAGGAGGACCCCCGGGTCATAGGCTCAGGCTGTATTCCGAGTCTTTACAACTCTCACAGCTGAGAATAATTCTCACCCCCAATCATTCAACTGGCAAATGTCAAATCTTCAGTGGCCAGGAGAAGCTCTGGCATTTGACAACTGAATATTGTGCTGAGACTTAGCAACAGAAGGGGTGGGCGTAATCTCAATGCCCTGTATGAAGCCTGACGTTAGTACTTGTGCTTGTCCTGGAGAGGATCGTGGATACTAACAGATACCACAGTATGTCTGTACTTATGTGACTTTGTGACTTTAAAAATGTTGCGACCCAGACAAGTTCACTTTAAAGTAAATCTAAAGACAAACCTTTTTTTTAGTTTTGGATTATGTGACTTATGTGACTTTAAAAATGTTGCGACCCAGACAAGTTCACTTTAAAGTAAATCTAAAGACAAACCTTTTTTTTAGTTTTGGATTGAGTACAGAAAACGTATGTGTTCCATTGGGGAGATTTGCCCTAACTTCCTGTTCAGTATACACAAATGGAAGTAACAGGAAATGTCTCCAAAGTGTTGGAAGTCCCCTCTTAAGCTGGGTCGATCCTTTCGTGACCCTGTCCCCTCATCAGAAGTCCATCATTAGATCGAC